CGTATCAGGTCATTTTCAAGTTCGTGTCAAGTTATAATCAAGTTCATGTCATAAAATTTGTGTCAAATTCGAGTTGTGTCATTGTGTTAAGTCGAAAATTTTCACCCCTAAGATTAAAAAATATTTTTTTAATTTAAAATTTTAATTTTTAAATTAATTTTTAAAATTATATATATATATATATATATACACATATTTTATATATGAAATTAATCTATACATAATATATATGTATATACTGAAAGATATATAGACAAAAACGTATATATATATTGAAAGATATATAGACACATAAGATATATTTCAACACAAATAATTAATTTTCTATTTTTTCACCGTATTAAACGGAATATTACAGAGCTTAATGGTGAATAAGTGGGAGTGCAATTCAGAGTTCCACCAACACCTGTCCTGGACTCGACCAGACTTCAAACAATTAATGGGTCCGTCCAAGCCAAGAAACGGGAAACACATGAAAATTGGTAGGGACTGGGGACTGGGGACTGGGGACTAGGGACATTACACGAGAATTAGGTGGCTGCTTCATCCATTCATATTCTCCTACTCCTCTCCATAATATAATCTATGCGTTTGTGGTTTTCATAGTCGTTAGTCAACACTTCATGTATGCCGTGTTGTGTTGTGTTGTGGATTCTCAAATTAACAACGTTGAAATTGCCACCCGCAACCCCACCCCCGTAGAAATTCACCAAACGACTTTGACTGATCACTTCTTTTGGACAAGGGCATATTTGGCATCATGCGTCAAATTCAAAAATTCACATGTACCAACCAGGTCCAGGTATCCACCCATATATGGATCGGATCCGTATTATTACTATGCTATTAATTAGAACCATAATAATGTGTCAAGTGAAGTGATGGAGTCCTAATAAAAAAATTCAAGAGTTAACACTATTGAACTATATCATTAGATCAATAAATTAAATTTATTTTTCAGATCTCAATAACATTACTCTTATTATTGAAATCTAGCACGTGACGTGAATAGTCCTCATTACCATTTTTTAGTATTTTTTTTGATGTCCTTGCATTTAATATGCTTGTTAGGTAATTAGAAAGACTTCATTAAGGTGCATGGTTGTTATTCGTCTTCACCTAACAGGAAGTTTACGGGCAGTGGGTTACCGATTGAAGTTGCCAAAGTTATTTATTGCATATATAAACTATATTGACACTCTTATTACTTTTTAAAATTACCAGGGGTACCCTTTTAATTATTTATATATATATATATATATATATATATATAGCACTTTTGCTCTTTTTTAAATTTGGGTTTATATCTTTCCCCCCAAGTATCTCTAATTTGTTGGTAGACTAGTGGTAGTTGATCATTGGAAATACCAACATAAGCTTAATTTTACCAAAATTTTACTCTAAAACATTATGAACAATTTTCACACCATGAAAATTTTGGAAAAAGAACTCCTTCGGCAGGCAACCGCAACCTAAACCCAAACCCTTTGTGGACACAACATCTTCAGGCACTTACAAGGCTGACACCAGACCCACTACCACAGAAGCACAACCTCACTTCATCGCCACCAGACGAACATGTACACATACAGCTCAACCAACCAAAAAGAAAATGCAAATGGTCATAAGTGATTTAAGTGTTTATATACAAGAAACGGGTAAATTTTGTTTGGTATTTTATTTTTCATATACGAGAAATATGGTAATTGTAATTAGACCATAGAGGTTGTTAATATATAATTTCCCTTATGTATTGGTTAACTCGTAATTTACTTGTGTCAACGAACCGAACCTCCCAATACTTACTTAGATAGTAACTTCTTTTTTAAGGAAAATGCTATTTAGATTTTATTTAAGAACCTAATGATGTGACTTTTATATAACTATTAGATTAGTTGTGAGTTCTAATATTAGATGAAGTTCACAATCAATTCAATAATTGTACATCATTAAGTCCTAAATAAGATGTCAAAAAAAATTCTCAAATAAGATAAATATAGCATTGCTTTATTTTTAATAGATATATTATATATTATTATACACCCGGTCAGTTATTTAGTGAATCCGGTCGTAGCAGTCAGGAAATTTCCAAATGGACCTATAACCCGGTCGTAGCAGCCAAGAAATTTCCAAATGGACCTTAACAACCATCGCAGTGGCAAACAAAAAAAAGTGGTGGCTCCCATCCCCACTTTCATAGAAACGGTGTTCACATTCCCTGTTATTCTCTATAAAATTCCGGCTCTGGGATTGCAAATGAAGACCACTACTCTCACATCCTCTCCTCTCAGACGGTTGTGTATTATTATAGGACCATCCCATAATTTTGTTCTGGGTATATATGGCACCACCACCCACCACATCTTTAACGTTCACAGTGAGGAGGCAGAAGCCTGAGCTGGTCGCTCCAGCAAAGGCCACACCTCATGAGTGCAAACTGCTTTCTGACATCGATGATCAGGAAGGTCTTCGGTTTCAGATCCCAGTCATACAGTTCTATGGGAATATAGGAACGGGAGGAAGAGGCAGAGACCCCGTGAAGGTCATCAGAGAAGCTCTTGCCAAAACCCTCGTTTTCTACTACCCATTTGCTGGTCGTCTTAGGGAAGGTCCTGCCCGGAAGCTTATGGTAGACTGTACCGGTGAGGGTGTCATGTTCATTGAAGCTGATGCCGACGTCACCCTCGACCAGTTCGGCGATGCCCTTCAACCTCCGTTCCCCTGCTTGGAGGAGCTTCTCTACGATGTTCCCGGCTCCGGAGGGGTCCTTAACTGCCCTTTGTTGCTTATTCAGGTACACTTTTTTTTTTTTGGGGGGTTAAATTTTCAGGGGCAAGTAGGTAGGTTGGCTTGGAGTGTGTTAATTATTTGCGGTTACTACGTACCTTCCAATGGTTTTTCTCAAGTATAACAACTTGTATATATATATAAATAATGTTAATGATTTTGAGAATAAGAGCTGTGTTGGCGCCCGTTGATTGAATTTATTTGAGATTTTCAGATAAATTTATTATATTTTATATTATAAATAGATTAGTTATTGTTTGTATCTAAATACACATAGTAATAAAAAATAAAAAATAATAAATGTATTTATATTTATATTCAAAATTAAATCACAAATATAGATAAAAAATAAAAGAATTTAAACATCAATTTGTAGTGAGAATGAGAGGTGATGAGCGACAATGATGATGGTAAGAGACGATGGTAGTGGCGACAATGATGATGGTGGCAGCGACGATAATAGGGGTGACAGCGGCGACGACAGTGGTGATAGCGGGAACTAGTCCAATTCATGGAACTAAATCAGTTGAAACTGATGTACTGTACTATTATTATAGATAAGAATCCGTATGTTTTGTGTGGTGTGGCGGGGAGAAGAGAACACTAAAGGAGCACTTTAGATTTGTGGTCCAAAATGATTAGGAATAGTTCTATTAGTTTTTTTTTTAAAAATTTAATTTTAAAAGAGATAAGATAGTTTACTATTTAAAAAAATATATATGATATAAGATTCATGTAATTAACATCAAATCAATAATTGGGATACAAATTTTATGTTGATTTTGAGTCATACTAGTTTTTTTTTTAATTTCTGTTTAGATAATCAATTTTTTTCTGGTTTCCGTTAGTATATCGGACCTTCATGTAGTAATTAATTATTAATGGCATAGCTAAATTAATTTAATTTACTTGACGTATAGGTGACGCGTCTCATGTGTGGGGGTTTCATATTCGCACTACGTCTGAATCATACCATGAGTGATGCAGCCGGACTAGTCCAATTCATGGCGGCCCTGGGTGAAATGGCACGAGGTGCTCCTGCCCCCTCGGTGCAGCCACTATGGCGGAGGGAGTTGCTAAATGCTAGGGAGCCTCCCCGCGTGACATGCACTCACCACGAGTATGATCAAGTCCTGGACACCGAGGGGACCATTATTCCTTTGGACGACATGGCCCACAACTCTTTCTTCTTTGGGCCCACTCAAGTGTCGGCTCTTCGTAGGTTCGTCCCTCCCCACCTACAGGGGCAGGGCAAATGTTCCACCTTTGAATTGCTAACGGCCTGCTTGTGGCGTTGCCGCACCATCGCCCTTCAGCCAGACCCAGAGGAGAAGGTGCGTATCCTTTGCATCGTCAATGCTCGTGCCAAATTCGACCCTTCCCTACCCAACGGTTACTACGGCAATGCCTTCGCATTCCCGGTGGCCATCTCCACTGCCGAGAAGCTGTGCAACAACCCCTTGGGGTATGCCCTGGAACTTGTCATGAAAGCCAAGGCTGATGTCACCGAGGAGTATATGCGATCAGTGGCCGACTTGATGGTGATCAGAGGACGACCCCACTTTACGGTGGTGCGAACTTTCCTGGTATCGGACGTTACTCGTGCTGGATTTGGAGATGTGGACTTCGGGTGGGGCAAAGCGGCCTACGGTGGTCCAGCCAAGGGTGGTGTTGGTGCCATCCCTGGGGTGGCCAGCTTTTACATACCTTTTACAAACAGCAAGGGCGAGAATGGGATTGTAGTGCCCATTTGCTTGCCTGCACCTGCCATGGAAATTTTTGTGAAGGAACTTGAGAGGATGCTAAAAGATGATCAAAACGTGACTCATAATCGTAAGACCTCCTCCTTCATCACGTCCGCGTTGTAATTTAATCAGTGACCGACAGTGTTTTTTTCTTTGTGTGTTGGTGGGGGGATTTGTTTTAGATTGAATTGAATTGTAGAAAAAATAAAACGAACTTGTGATGCATGTTTCTCCTATATAGTGTTTTCAAGGTTCGCCTGTTTTATCCATGTTCTTCATATTTTACAGGTTTGATTTGATACCCATCATCTGCTCGCTTACTTTGCTTGCCACCTATTTCTATTGTCTTTGTATTGTGCATCACATTGGGTGTTTAAATTTTTGTTTGATTGTAATTTTTTATCCTATTTGACCTTATCCTACCATACTGAACGGTTAACTGTAAAAATCAAGTAGAAATATAGAATACTTATCAATTTTCGCATTCCTACTCTACCATACCCATATTAATTAATTTATATATATATAATGAAACACATGACAACTTGAATTTTTATTCCTTACATATTTTCCCCCTAAAAATATTACATAACTCATTTCTATCATATGTTTAATTATTTATATATTCCCTCTAAAAATATCACATCACTCATTTTTATCATATGTTTAATCATTTAATATTTGANATCATACTGAACGGCTAGCTGTAAAAATCGAGTAGAAATATAGAATACTCATCAATTTTCGCATTCCTACTCTACCCTACCCATATTAATTAATTTATATATATATAATGAAACACATGACAACTTGAATTTTTATTCCTTACATATTTCCCCCCTAAAAATATTACATAACTCATTTCTATCATATGTTTAATTATTTATATATTCCCCCTAAAAATATCACATCACTCATTTCTATCATATGTTTAATCATTTAATATTTGATTAATTTATAGTTAATATAATTTTTATTTCAAACATTATTCATATACGATAGAATACACACGTTGAAAAAATTTAATATAATGAGATCAATTTTTTTGGGGCTCAAATTTTATAGTATATTATATTATATATATATATAAACTTAAAAAACCTTAATTGATAACCAATCTTATCGTCTACTAACTAAAGGAACGCCTCACTCCGTTCCTCTCCTCTTGCCTCTATCGGTTTTCATCGCTTAAGCCTCTGTCTCTATNTAGGGCTCAAATTTTATAGTATAATATATTATATTATATATATATATATATAAACTTAAAAAACCTTAATTGATAACCAATCTTATCGTCTACTAACTAAAGGAACGCCTCACTCCGTTCCTCTCCTCTTGCCTCTATCGGCTTTCATCGCTTAAGCCTCTGCCTCCATAGCTCAGACCTTCATCGTTCGATCCCGACCTCCCCAACACTCATCTATCATGAAGGAGTCATTACTTAGAGGTTGTTCATTGCATAAAGTATGTTATGTAGCATTCCTTTTCATATAGAATATTAAATTCAGGGTTGTGGTTACCGCTNGTTTTCATCGCTTAAGCCTCTGTCTCTATAGCTCAGGCCTTCATCGTTCGATCCCGACCTCCCCAACACTCATCTATCATGAAGGAGTCATTACTTAGAGGTTGTTCATTGCATAAAGTATGTTATGTAGCATTCCTTTTCATATAGAATATTAAATTCAGGGTTATGGTTACCGCTTAATTTATTCTCCTCTCTTTTGTTTTCTTTCTTGGCTGCTCATATAGACTCCATTGGTTTGTCATAGTTAGCTATGCGCCCCCATAATATTGCATTACTAAACAAGTGTTTGTTGCAAAAAAGTTTATTTTGAAGTTTGATTCTTTCCTACAACTTCAATTCACAGTTAAATTGGTTAAACGTTTATTTATAAATTGTTATACGAGCCGAAAGAAAGAAAAAATATGTTTCATGTAAATTTGAGAAGACAATCTTAAGACATGCAGATTCTGGCAAATATACACACTCATCAAGATGCCCGATAGGTTTTAGTGTTATTGAGTTATTATGTTGTTAAATTGGTGCATGTTATTTAATTGAATTGTTAAAATAATTCAACAATTAATAGCTACAAAAATAGTTACCCGACTTCCTACCCGATTAATTGGGTAGGAATACCACACTTGATCGGGTAGGGTAAGTTAAAAAAAAAATCTTCCGCAAAGTATCGGGTAGGAAGACAAAAAAATATATTTCCTACCTGTAGAGTATGGTGAATACCCCTAATCACAGTGCATAATATTAATAGCCAAGTTGGTTTAGTGATGTGACTGTACACTACCAAGAATTTGGTAAGCCTAACTATTGTTTTAGCCACTAAAAATGTGATGTGTTTAAAATTACTACCTTTCAAATCCTTTTAGCTTTTTTTTTTTTAATGAATAGCATTCTAATTTTTTCTTTCGTTTTACAATCTTTTGTAATTTATACTAACATTTAAGAGAGAGGAGCAAATGAATATTTCAAAAGGAGAGACCACGAGCTACTGAAGGGGAAAGGATTGGCTTTAGGATGGGTACTATAGGATTGATTTCAGAGCCCTCAATCTATGTTATTGGCAGAAGTATTTGATTTGAACTGGACAAAAGAAGTTACTCTTCAAGTAGACAACATCATTAACATAAACATAAACTTTCAAATAGACAAACATCATTAACATATCAACCTAGATTTAACTAACATAACCATAGAGAAAGTTGTACATTTAGGTTTATGGTTGATCAATTTTAGACAATAATAGATTTTCGAATGACAATGAATCGATGACTAAATCACAATTTTATTCATGGATCGTAACGTAATGGAATTACAAATAAGCTTTTAGGAACAAAATCATCCAAAATCTTATAATCTCATATGACACTCCCTCGTTGCACTTGGCTGCACCCCATGGAGAAGTGGGCTCACTTGGCCCAGGCTTGTCTCAACCAATGAGGGACTCACATGGCTGATAGGGTTGTGACTCAATATTGGGTCTTGTTTTGATACCATTGGTCATGGCATCTCAACCCTAAAACATATAATTGTTAAGTGGATAAGTTCCAACATCGTATAAGGCACTCCCTATCTTACCGATGTAGAACTCCTGGCAAAAAACTCGACAAGATCTTTTGGTTTATGAAATATAAGGCACTCCCTATCTTACCATTGGTCATGGCAAAAATACTTCTTTGCCCACAAAAATCCTCTTCTAAGTTCATTTTATTGAAAGTGGTGTATAAACACGTATACAAACCCTAATGTATCTTTTGGTTTCCTTCTTAATGGATGGCCAATGGAGCCTCAACATATATATAAGCCAAGAATGAGTTGCAGCAAATGCATCTTTGCGCTTGGGGGCAATGTCGCAGCTAGTGAGGTTCTAATCAAGGCGCGTCAATTGCTGGTTGAAAACTATTTCCAAACCCCCTCTTGGGCCTGGGTTTAGCCTAGGCCTTGTTGTGTAATTTATTTAATAAATCAATGAAATGATTGAAAAAATAACTCTTGCACAATTAATTTCTTAAAACAAAAACCCAAGAAATTAGACCCAAAAATGATTTGCCCTAAATCACAATTTATGAAATATAAGTAAAGGAACGATCTTACCAAACTATAGATCAAGCCGAAGCTTTGTCCTTAAAGGTTGATTCGCGCCCCTCGAAGTCGATGACTCGGTGTGATAGGTCCGCGGCACGACAATCTCCCAGGATTTTTATAGCTTCACCTCCACCAACACACACTTGTTGTGAAGAGTGTTTAACAATCCCTTTTGATAGTTCTTTGTGGAAGCACAACAAAATTTTCTAAAAAAATGTGAGATTTGAAGCAATAAAAGAGAGATGAGAAGCAACAATTGTAAGAGACCAAAAGAGAGAGCCGAAATCTTCTGCCAGGAAAAAGGGATCATACCAAAAATGAAAAGCTTCCTTTACAAGCTACTCCAACGGTAAAAAAATAAAGGTAATGGGCCATGGGCTTGCAAAGACAAAACTAAGTCAATGTGCTTAAAAAATAAAAAAAGAGTAAAGACCCAACCAATTAAATGTTTTGAAACACAATAAAAGAAAAACCCAACAATCCCCCACATGTTTCAAAATATTCAAACGATATAAACGAGGAACACGAAAAAGCATGCGTCGATAAGGTATCACACAGGCTTTAACCTTACCTAGAATAAGTGAGAGTAATCCACATAAATAATAGTAGAGTTAGACTCGTTTAACCATATTCCATAATGTGAATTAACCAACTCACCATTCACATACCTTTCACTAATCAGTGTTCTCATATGCGGGTTGGAGCCATAAATACCGGCCATGCGCCTGTCCTGGGTTTTTATGTGTGCTCTAGCGACTTGCCCATGTCACATAGAAGACGACTCCACCTTCACACATATATAAGTAGCATCTATTAGGAGTGTGCTGCAGTTGAACACCTCATCTCAATAATTAGGGACTATGGATCTATTAAGAGCAACAACTCAGCCTCCTCACTACAGCAGCACTGTCATAACACCATAGGGATAGACTTTTACATTAGGCCTCAGCACCTAAATGGGATAACAATAAGTGACAGTGTCCCTCTGAGATTGTCTGTGATTTCGTTTCCCATTTAACCCCATAAGTGGAATCACCCATCATAAGGGTTGGGTATCAATCACATAGTCTCTAAAATAGGCAACAATCCTATCCCCTTCGATGTCTTGCTCACTAGCCTCCTCATCAGTGGCTTGGTCAAAGGATCCGCAAGATTCATCTCTGACTTCACATAGTCCATGGACACGGTACCATTCTCAATAAGCTGCCTTATAATAGTATGTCGCATTTGGATGTGATGGCTCTTCCCATTATATATTTTGCTTTTAGCTCGAGCTATAGCAATCTGACAATCACAATGTATAATTACAGATGGAACTGGATTAGTAAATAATGATACAGGAATATCCACTAAAAAATTCCTTAGCCATTCTATTTCGGATCAAGCCTTTTCTGAGGCTATTAATTCTGACTCCAAAGTGGATCTCGCAATCACTGTCTACTTGGATGATTTCCAAGAGACTGCTCCTCCAGCTAGTGTGAACACATAACCACTAGTAGACTTTAACTCATCTGTATCAGAAATCTAGTTAGCATCACAATAACCTTCTAACACAGAAGGATAACCACAAAAGGATAAACCATAATCAATGATGCCTCTCAAATATCTCATTAGTCTTGAAATTGTATTCCAATGATCCTCACTAGGATTATGAGTATATCTACTCAATCTACCAACGACATATGCAATATCAGGACGAGTATAATTCATCAAAAACATAAGGTTACCAATAATCTGTGCATACTTACTCTGTGATACACTGTCACAATTAATTTTCACTAAATGCACTTTAGCATCATAAGGAGAAGATAAG